ATCCTCCGCAGGAGAGAGGCAGGGCCAGGAACCCAGATGCATAGAAAAAGAACAAAGCCCCGAGCCAATTCTGAGGCCCAGCAGGTAGAAAAGAAGCACTCTAGACAGACATCCCTCAGCCTTCTTTCCTGTTGGGACCAGGCCCAGGTCTCCACTGCTGAGCCACAGCCCAAAGCTTTCACCATCTTCACTGGCAGGTGGCAGGGCTTGGGTGCAGGCTGGAAGTAGTTCCTGGGGTGCTCTCCCTTGCTCTGGGCTAGCTGAGAAATGCTATTTCCTATGAGGAGAGGCGTGAGCTGGAGAAGAGGGAGCACCCTGGGTCCAGACCAGGGAATGGGGCAGGTGCCCGGGACGGCTATGGTCACCACTCTTCCCGTGCCGCCACCACCAGCACAGGGACCCTGGGCTAACGGCATGGGAAGACAGTGCTGACACCCCAAAGAAAAGCATGCTATGGCCCCACTGTTTCAGAAACAAGGAATTTCCCTTTTTTAGTCGATCTCATGTTCCCTCTCCCGAAGTCAATCCTGGCCAGCTGATGCCCAGGTTGCTACTGAAGGAACTGAAGCAATGAGGTATCTAGCACCTCATGTTGTCCCTGACTGTCCTCTGAGAGAAGCAACCACCACCTTGGGGAGCTCAGTGGCACCCCCTTTCAAAAGCGATTATCACAGCGGGACTTGTTGACTTCACAGAGGCGTGGGGAGGTCACAGGACCCTCACATGAGCATCCAGAGGTTCCCTACCACCTGCTGTATGTAACTCTGTCCTAGCTGTACATGGCCTTGGGGAGTGGCTAGGGCAGATAGGCTGGGGGAAGGGGGCTCCAGCTATGTGACTACAGGAGAGGCATCATTTGTGTTGGGTGAAGACTTTCTGGTGAGGCCGTTTTGTGGGGATACCTACACTCCAGTAAGTAACCCCTGACCTACGCTCGGTAAGGAAGCCCGATGAATTCATTGGTTCTCCACAGTGAACTCTGGTGGGAATGTGCCTGGGTTTGTTGTTGGGACCTCAGGAGGGTGTAGATGTCATCTATGTTTTCCCCAGAAGGATTTTAGCAACACTTCATTAGTATTGACTGGATTTTCTGGTAATAAACATAAGTTACTTTGACTCTTTAAATAATTTCTAGTGGTGCTAGAGATTAAACCCAGGGGCCTCACATAAGCTAAGCATACTCCACCACTGGGCTAACCTGGCCCCATGCTCAGTAACAACTATCCAATGAAAACAGAATCCAAGGCTTTCTTAATCTACTTCCTGTCACAGCATCTTCCCCAGCTACTAATCACACTGAGAGTCCTCCCCAAGACGTCCCTACACAGGTCCACACTGGCTGATACAGGTGGACACAGTTTACACCTGTGACAGTTACCTCTTTTGTTCTCTTTTATCTTGTTTTGTTTGACATGGTCTCATGTAGCCCAGATTGAACAGCTGAAGCTGTTCTGGAATTCCTGATCCTCTGGCTTCCACCTCCCAGGTACTGGGAATATACTAGCTAATATTGGTAGGATTTAGAGTCACCCAGGAAGCACACCTCTGGGCACGTAGATGAGGGCGTTTCTAGAGAGGTTTGAATACTTGTGACACTAGCCCAGAAGTCAGGGTTCTAGACTAATTAAGGGGAGATACAGAGCTGTGCACCAGCATCCATTCACCTCTCTCTGCTTTTCGACTGCAGAGGCAATGTGACCAGCCACTTTACACTCCAGTCACGAGCAGGATGGATGGCGTTCAGATGGACAGCCAAAATACACCCTCCCTTAGGTCGCCTTTGCCATGGCAACAGAAGGGTAGCGAATACAACACCTGAAGGTTTTTACTCTACATGGGCCTGAATGATCTTCCTATAACAGTCCAGAGATCTAGAGCACAGTTTTACATGTTTAAAATGACTAGCTGGGTGGTAGTACACACCTTTAACCCCAGCACTTGAGAGGCAGACACAGGCAGTCTCTGTGAGTTTCAGGGCAGCCTGGTCTACAGAGTGTGACTCTGTCACAAACAAATTTAAATCAAATACTAAATGAACGAAGCCAATTTTCTGGGGTCAGAAGAAAAGCCTGTTGGGACAGCTGTCCTCTGGCTCCCTCACAGACAGCCTGAAGTCACTTACCCCACTCCACCCCCACTTTCTTCAGGGCCAGACTCTTACCACACCTGGCTGCCCCTCTTTGTACTAACCAAGAAAGCTTGTGTCCAGCAGCTGAAGTGTGGCTACATCCCACACCTGCTTAATACCAATGTTTGGTAAGTTGAGGCTCACTTTCCCATTGCTCTGTGGTCGAAGCAGTAGAAACGTTCTCAAGTTCAAGGCCACTGCCAGGGCTACCTGTAGAATAAAGGGCAGAGGCGGTAAGCTGAGGGTGAGCGGCTCATGGACCAACATCCATATGTCTCAGGTGCACACAGGAGGATCCCTGGGGCTCACTGGCCATCTAGTTCTGCCATTCTAGCAAACTCTAAGACAACAAGAAGTCATGCCTCAGAATCTGAGGCAAACCATAAAGTGTCAGTTGGAGTGAATGAAAAACTTTAGGCTTTGATCTCAGATACATGTTGCTGGCAGTGTTTCTTGTCCCGCCAGGTTCCACCTCCCCTCTCAGCCCCAAATAAACACACGGACCTATGTTAGTCATAACTGTTGGCCGATGACTAGGGCTTCCTACTGGCTAGCACTGCCTTAACTCATTTATATTAATCTGTATATTTCCACATGGTCTTGGCTTACTGGAGAATGTCCAGACCTGTTACTCCTTTGTGGTCTACATGGCTCCTGTGCGGTCTCTCTTCACCTACTTTTCCCAGAATTCTCCTCATCTTCCAGTGTGGTAGACCCACTTACCCTTCCTGCCTGGCCACTAACCAGTGTTTTATTCATCAACCAATAAGAAAAACATATATACAGAAGAATATCCCTCATCAGACCCACTCAGGCTCACTCTCAGCGTCATGAAGGAATAATGTGCTTGGTCACGTCATCAATTCCCTCCTAAACCTCATCTTCCCTACTTTTAAAATTGAAGACCACAAAGTTGCACCCCTGAGCTAGCGCTGAGGATTAAATGAGATAATATGTATGTCCAACACTTCTACCAAACCTTCTTTCCAGTTCAACACTGGGATGTCCCAGAGTGAGTCCATCCGTCTAAGCTCTTTTCCGCTCCCCCGGCACTCACTTCCTGGGTGACTCCACTTAGCCTGTCACTTCCTGGGTGACTCCACTCAACCTGTCAGGGTTTATAGCCATCTCTCTCTATCATATTGGGAGGGGCCGGGAGTCCTTTAGCAGTTCAAGGGTTGGTCTGGCTGGAGAGATTCATTCAGTCTACCCCTCAGGCCTTTCTTTTACCCAATCCTTCAGGGCTGGGGACTTTATACCTTGCCATGGACCACAGCATGTTCTCCATGGAGGATGACTTTCCCCGGGGCAGATACCAGCAGGGCTTCTGATAACATGGCTCCTGGAACTCCTGGAAGGGAATGGCAGAGGGAGGAACAAAGGTTCCCAGATGTTAGTTAGACACATCAGGAAGGGTAGGTTTGGTGGTACATTCCTTTAACCCCAGCACTCGGGAGGCAGCGGCAGCTGGATCTCTGAGTTCAAGGCCAGCCTGGTCTACAGAGTGAATTCCTGGACAGTCAAAACCATGTAGAGAAACTGTCTCATAAAGAGAAAGAAGAAAGAAGAGAGGGAGGGAGGGAAGGAGAGGAAGAAAAAGAGAGAGAGGGAGGGAAAGAGAGAAAGAGAAAGAGGGAGAGGGAGAGGGAGAGAGAGAGAGAGAGAGAGAGAGAGAGAGAGAGAGAGAGAGAGAGAGAGAGAGAGAGAGAGAGAGAGAGAGAGAGAATGCACATTATAACAACGGGAACTGTCATACAGCACTAACTATTTACCATGACAGTGCTGTGAGCGAGCCAGCTGGACAATGAAAAACATCTGGGTTCAGACCCCAGCCCTTCCACTCCCCTGTGACATCACCTTATGTAAACTGTCATCGATCTGCTTCCCACACATCAGATAGGGGCAGCACTGGAGACTGATTCAAAAGACGGGAAGCAGCACTGTCTGTCTGCCAAAATAGCTGCTTGAGTAAGATAGCTACTCAGCACTGGCCTGTTCTCGGCTCTGGCATTTACTGCCAACACTACTGAAAGCAGAAACTGACATGGCATCCGAGCGCGTGGCTCAGAAGTGAAGAGCTTGCCTACCATGAGGAAAGCCATGTGTTTAACGGTGTGAACAAGGTTGGTTTACACAAAATCTTAAAAAGGAAAGAATCCTTCCCGGACATCGAGGCCACAACTAACCGACGTCACAATTATATGCATGGCTGCAGGACATACCCCGTGTTGCGTTATTTAAACAAGAACTTCTGCAAGGCAGAGAGTCTCCCAGAGTGTTTTTGCTGGGTTTATGGGCGCATGCATCTTACACTGCTATAACGAATGCAAAATTACCCGCGTTTAAGGCCTCACGAGAACTCCCTCACACTAACCAACCCACTACAGACGAAGTAACCACCGAGGCCCCTGTTTCTTAGGGAACTGTTCGATCTGATGTCGCCGACCGCTCCGATCAAGGAAACCAAGGCAGAGGAATGCGGCGCCCGGCCTGGGGTGTCCGGGGCTCCGGTCCTCACGCCGCCCAGACCCGCAGCCCAGGCCTCTCACCTGCCGCGGCCAGCGTCCAGGTGTGCAGACACCGCAGCTGCAGCTCCCGGTCTTCTCCATCCCCGGGAGCACAGCCCCACGGAGGCACGCGGCTTCCCTCCAGCCAATCAGAGCACTAGAGCCGAGGATCCCTTTAGGGATTGGGTCGAACATGGACCAATGGGAACTTCAAACACGCCGGGGTTTCCCCGCCTCACTCTTTTCGTGATCCAATGGGAAACAAATTTTGGGGAGTGCCCCGCCCTGGTGCGAGTGCCGCTGACCAATAGGAAACGGCGATTGGGAGGTGGTGCGGCCGGCTGCGGGGCGGAGCCATTCTCGGGCCTGGACGGGTGCCTGGCCGGGTCAGTCCTGGACTGGTTTTCAAGCGCATGGCCGTGTGGGTGTTTGGGGGCCGCCTTGGCCTGCGCGGGCATCTTGGCGTCTGCAGGCTGCTATGTTCCCGTTTTCAGAGCCGCGGCCCTCGGGGCGAGGAAGACGGGGACAGGTGAATGTCAGGCTTGGGACGGTACCTCCTGGGCGGGGGGGGGATAGTTGTATTGGCTCAGTGGGCACGTCACACGGATGACGTGTTTCTGCGGTCTGACATCACCTGGGGCAGCATGGCGTCAGAGGCCAGGATTTCTTGGCACAATTTCTAACACAGTCATTCCAGCTGTGGTCGGATGGCAGGGCATGTCCTTGTGGGCCAGCAGGGCCCTCTGTTAGGATTTTGTCCAGTCTACTAGGTTTATTGGGATTAGGACGCCGGGCATCATCTAAGGAAGAGGTGAAAATGACTGTGAAACTTGTACCGTGGACTTCCAGGGCCTGAGAACCTACAGACTGCCTTGCACTTGTAATCAGAGCTTCCTGTCCAGTCCTCTGACTTTTGAATAACCTTGTGAGGCCATATTTTAGTTGTAAGCCACATGTACTGCTATTTTAAAATGGCAGCCTCTTGAAGACTGAGGATGTGGCCCAGTGGTAGAATGTTTGTCTACCATGTCCAAAAGCCGGGGTCCAATTTTGCCGGCCTGCAGCTCAACAAAAATCAGAAACAAATTTAAAAAGTGAAAGTACCATTTTTTCAAATTCCATTTTGCCAGTGTTTTTGTTTCTTGTTGTTGTTGTTTGTTTTTTTGTGACACTCGAGGACTTAGAAAATGCAAGAGGCTCAGTTTTCTTTTCCCCAAGAAACCCTAACTTTGTGATAGAAGGTTGGAGTTAGGGAAGACTAGGGGCAAGAGTTTGAGAAGGGTAATGTTCCAGGTCAGGCTGACAATAGAACAGCCTTGGGCGTGCATCCCAGCCCTGCCTCCTTCTGGAGACCTGGGGAAGTGAATCTTTGTGGGCTATTGTTGCCACAACAGAGAAGTGGATGTAATAGTGAGTTGTGGAAACACCTGAGTGGTGATTCCAGGAGCTAGTGGCTTTGGTCCACTGTGAAGCTGGGACTGTATGGAGTGATCACTTAGTTCCTCTAGCAAATATGTGCCAGTCACTTCGTTGACTGACTACAGCAGCTGTCGTACAGGTAGAGACGTAGACGCAAAGCTGAGCTTGCGCACCCGGGACTTTGTCTAGAAGGGATGGCAGGGGTTAATAAGAGATTGCCATCCAGAAGGGGGATAAATGCTACCACTGAGGTTGCAGGCAGCAAGCTGGGCTTCACTCACCGAGGTGCACTCCATAAGCCATTCCCACGTACCGTGTCTTAATGTCTGTTTCTCTTTAGGCCGCAGTCCTCCTCGAAGGCGCCCAAGATCCCCAAGATTTACACCAAAACGGGAGACAAAGGTATGCTGAGAGGGCAGTGAGAGATGCGTCATTTTAAAGTTCCTCTGGCCTTGCTGTAGCCATGGGACATCGTAATGTAAAGTGGCATGCTCAGAAGGAGTTGTAAAGAGCAGGGAGGTGGTGGCGCAGCCTTTAATCCCAGCGCTCGGGAGGCAGAGGCAGGCGGAGCTCTGTGAGTTCGAGGCCAGCCTGGTCTACAGAGCGAGTTCCAGGATAGCCAGGGCCACACAGAGAAACCCTGTCTCAAAACAAAACTAAATAAATAAAGTTGTAAAGAAGCTGAGAATAGTGCATACTTGTAATCTCAGCACTGGGGAGGCTGAGGTAGGAGAGTCTTGAGTTCAAGACTCATATCAAGCTCCAGGCTAGTCTAGGTTACATAATGGAACCCTGTCTTGAACCACATGCATGCCTGCTGCCTGAGAAGGCATCGGGTCTGGAACTAGAGTTACAGGTGGTTGTGAACGCCACGAGTGCTGGGACCTGAATCTGGGTCCTCTGCAAGAGCAGCAAGTGCTCTAACCACTGGGCCACCGCTCCAGCTCCTGCCCCTCCCCCTAGACAACCACCATGCATAATGTGCTGAATATGTTTCCTAGGGTTTTCCAGCACCTTCACAGGAGAACGGAGACCTAAAGATGACCAAGTATTTGAGGCTGTGGGAACTACAGACGAATTAAGTTCAGCTATTGGGTAAGCGGGGCAAGGACGGGCCTTGATGGGAAGTTCGCCTGGGGCATGGATGACTGTCACCACTGCAACATTTTCCCAAGTGCTGGAGGGTCTTGGAGAGTGCCGTCTGGATCTGTACAAGCTGTTAGCACAGGCTGGTCAGCTCCATGGGGCTACAGGCTATCGCCTTGTCCGTCTGTCACCATGGGGAGTGGCCTTCTTCTCACCATCCCTGCTTCTGTCACTTTAGCACACATGTGCCATCAGGGCACAGCAGTGAGGGAAAGAGGAGAGCTCAGGTGATCCGCGGGGCACCTGCTGTGGCCCCTGGTGAGTGTGGGTTTTAACGTGAGCCAAGGGTTAGAAGGCTTACCCAAGGATTACCATCGCTCCCAGCCCGTCTGCTTATCACACTGAAGGATTATTTCCCACCCTCACTTTGAGCCATTGCACGCTGGCTGTACCTCTGCCAAATGCGGTCTCTGTGGAAGCCAGGCTGATGTGATCCTGGTCTGGAGTGGTTCCGGTCCTGGTGAGACTCACGCTGGCTCCTGAAGCTTTCCATGTGACCTCTCAATCCCATGGCACTGGTCAGACCTAGTCACATCCTGGCACCGTGAAGTGAAAAAGGCTACATGCATGAGGATGACCACATGGGTGGCCGTGCTCAGCCATACTGAGGGTGTGGACACTGTCAGGCCTGCCCGGCCCTGTGGTCACAGACATGGGGGAATCAGGAAGCCCTGTGGTCAAACTCTGTACCACTGCTCACTAGCTGTGCGACTCCTTGTTTTGAACCTCAGTTTACTGTTCTGTGAAATGGTCGTGGTAGTACTTCCCCTCTGTTCTTATGAATTAATTCAATAGATCTGCATCTAGCCTAGGACGGTACTTAACGCAAGTAACAGTACTGCTTACGATCATTTTTATCATTCCCCTGGTAACTTCCAGGCTCGTGGCTGCCGGGTGCCAGGAGTGCAGTGGACAGTGATGACAAAAATTGTCACAGCCATCACAGCCTTTCCTTGTCACCCAGAGGGGGACTAACGTTAGGAGAAGACTGCGTGTGTGTGCGCGTGCGTGTGTGTGCGTGCGCGTGCGTGTGTGCGCGTGTGTGCGTGTGCGCGCGCGCGCGTGTGTGTGCGTGTGTGCGTGCGCGTGTGTGTGCGCGTGCGCGTGTGTGTGCGCGTGCGTGTGTGCGCGCGTGTGTGTGCGTGCATGTGTGTGTGTGTGTGTGTGTGTGTGTGTGTGCGCTCCCGCGCTTGCTCTGTCGAGTGTTCTGTTCTGACTGAAAGAAGGTTGTTTGCTGTTCACCTGCTGCTCCTTTTCCTGCCCCATTGCCCTCTCTGCCTGAGCACGTGACAGGGAACCTGCCAACCCTACACCCCATGTCCTGGTCTTCTGGCTTCCACAAGCGAGCAGCGATGGGAGGCAGCAGTGGGCACTGGGAGAGAGGAAGTGTGTGAGGGACAACCTGGGAGCGTGGACAAGCTGTTTGCCAGCTGAGCGTGGCCCTGGCAGACCCCCCCTCCCCCGCCCCCGCTGTACAGATCCCACTGGTGGCCCTCGGAGTTCTGCTTCTCCCGTGTCCCCTCCCTCACCTCTCCAGGCTTCGGCTCTGCCGCTCTTTACCATCAATCATCATTTCCTATATCTCTGCTGCGTCTCTGAGAATCATCCCTTTGTGATTCTCTCTCCCAGGAGCCCTTCCTGTGCGCCACCATCTGTCCCCTGCCAGGCCTCGCAGGGTACGAGAGGGGACTGCAGTGTTTTTGGCTTGTGTCTGGGAGGTTTGTTTCCTCTTCTGTCTTACAAGGAACTCCTATTCATCCCTCAAAACCCCACCTTCTTCTCTTCACCCCCTTGTCAAGGACAGGTCATGCTCCCCTCATCCTTAGCTTTAATGCTATGGTGTCACAGCACACATCTCTATCTCCTGACAGACAGACCCCAGGTCACCTGTGTCAACAGGACCGGCATGGACAAGGGCTGAAAGGAACAGCTGATTGGGGACTGATGAATATAGGAAAAGCACTTTGGGAAGCAGATGCCCTGTCCTCTTTGTTAGCAAGGACTGCTGTGGCCGTTGCAGGTTATCTTAATCTTGTGGCCTCCACAGTGTTCTGTTAGGGGCTAATTTTTCCATATCCTCCAAGGTTTGCCATGGAGTTGATCACAGAAAAGGGCCACACATTTGCCGAAGAGCTTCAGAAGGTAAGTAGCGTCATTTTAACCCACAACAGGGGTTTTGTCCCCGTGGCCTGGGTGTTGCTGGCTTCATCCTCTGCCCGCGGCCTCTTTGCGTCATGGTAGCTAATTACTCCTGAGAACTGCACTGTCCTCATCTCAGAAATAAGGACACATAGTCCTCGTGAGGTGTAAAGGTGGCTCTGCTCTCCAGCAACATGGAAAGATGGCTGTGCTTGTCACATCTGGCGGTGGGAAAGCTACTGGAGTCAATACCATCCATTTCACGGGACAGCCTCTTGGCAAGAACAACCCAATGCCAGGGGCCAAAGCCCGGCCTAAAGAGTAAGGTGCCCAGCTGTACGCCTCAGCCAGGTGGAGCTGCTCCCGGTGGTGTTGCTCTCGTATTCCATCAGGGACCTGCCAGCTAGGGCAGCAGCAGCGTCACGCGGTCTCCCAAGCATCACTGTAGTCTGCTTGGGGCCTACGTGACTCTGAGGAGCAGACAAGAGTCCTTCCTGAGTTTTCCTGTCCTGCTGACCGCTGCCCTCCATGTCTGTCCTTCACTGTAGGTGACTCTGGGTCCAGTGAACTGCAGCTCCAGAGCTGCCAGTGTAGAGAAAGGAGGCCACGTGGGTTAGGTGTGTGGGAGCCATAGTCAGGCTGAGAAGGTGCCTCCTGGCCAATACTAGCAGAGTCTTTGCTCCCTCAGACTCCCTCGGGAGGCCTCGCGGTGCTTAGTTGGGACAGATTGCATTTGGATGTGAATTCACAGGTCTGTTAGCTCCTCAGCCTTGTGCGCGCTCTGCGGCACCTCTGAGCGTGCAATAGTGTGGTGCAGTTGCATGATTTCCACCCAGCCTGCCTCTTGTCCCCCAGATCCAGTGCACGCTACAGGACGTCGGCTCCGCCCTGGCCACTCCACGATCTTCAGCCAGAGAGGCTCACTTAAGTAATTCCTAGCCCTGCTCAGGGACTTCTTAGAGTCCTGGGGTGGGGGCTGCCCCTGAGTGTGGGTCCCAGGGCTCTCTGGCAGGACACACAACGTGTAGGCCTTGGGAAAGAAGTTAGCCTCAAAGCTGATGGGAACCATTGGCAGGATACCCATGCAGAAGGGAAGGGGTATTTCCCTGTGGACTAGTGACATGCTTACAGGAGTAGTCTTTCTGCCCCGACTCCTTAGAACGCACAGCCTTCAAGGAAGAGCCTATCATGGAACTGGAACAGTGGATTGACAAGTACTCCAGCCAGCTCCCCCCACTCACAGCCTTCATTCTGCCTGTAGGTACTGGGGGCTCACCCTAGGGTGGCCAGGGTGGGTATAATGACAGAAACACATGGGGTTGCCATTAGTCCCAACTTTAGCTTTTACCACAACAAAGCTACTCCTACATCACTCCAGCCCCTTTCCTGTTCACCTGAGGGCAGCCCTGGGGTGTGTCTGGTACGGCTCTGGCAGGGCCAGTGTGCAGCAGCTGGCCAATGCTCACTTTCTCTTTCAGTCTGGGGGCAAGAGCAGCTCAGCACTGCACTTCTGCCGGGCCGTGTGCCGCCGAGCTGAGCGACGGTAAGGGTGGGTCCCGGAGGCTGACACAGAAGGCTCGTCATAGCTGTGATAGGTGACTGCATGCTGTTCAAAGGCCAAGAGCAGGTTCCCCTCCACATTCTAAGCTATGGGGATAGGGCAGAGGAGAATGCCATGAAAGGACCATAGGAAAGACCCAGGTAGAAGCTGCCGGTAGTCCAACCATCTGCTGCCCTTGCCTCATCTCCAAACTCCGAGTGTTCACAGTCTCAAGGGGTTCCTCACAGTGCTCCTCTCCTCAGGAGGCAGGGGCACTTAGATTCTGTGACTGGAGTCACCCTTCCACAGCCCCCACATCACAAGAGTTTTGTCCTTCACAAAAGGCTTTTAGACCCAGACACTCCCAGATACATCCTGGGTAACAAAAAAAGCTTGGCCCTCAGAAGAAAAACAGTCATGTGTACAGAGTCATCCGTATCGGGCTCAGAGCAGTGAGTGGTGGGAGTGGCCCACAGGCTCAGCACAAGACTGACTGAGCCGGTGTACACCCTCAGTGCCACAGACAGGGTCCCAGCCCGTGGCAATGGCAGTGACCTGAGGGGATGCCCTCAGGGCAGACAGATACCTCGGTGAAGAAACCATGCAGAGTGGGAGGTGCCTACAGACCTTCCTAGACATGAGACTTCTGGGCCACTGGCCAAGTATATCATCTTGGATAGGGTCAACCTCCTGCCCCAGGCTGGCTCAGGGAAGAGTACCAACAGGGATTAGGCAGTGTGGGGCTTGGGGTGGGGTGTAATCACGCCATGGTGCCCAACAGGCACTGTCTCAAGTGTATGCACACAGACTGATGTGGAACCCCCAGGCTTTTAGAATTACAACTTAGAACCAGTAGCTCCTTGGGGATTAAGGGCCACATGAACCCTCCATTGAAGACTAGAGGCAGACAGCCCTGCTCATGCAGGAGCCGAGACCTCGCTTGTTGGCACAAAGGTCAGCAGGCTGGGCTGTTGGCCAGCCTGCCCTCAGCTTACCTGCTTTGCTGCCTCCTTCACTAGCCAGGCCACATCAGCTGAGGCGGCGGTGGGTTTTCCTACCTGGGAGTAGTTATCAGGGTAAGTTTGCGTGGTGAGGTCAAACGGTGATCCGTGTCCCAGGCTCCTGGGTGTTGAGTCTAGTTCCTGTGTCCTTTCTTTACAGTGTGGTGCCCCTTGTCCAAATGGGAGAAACGGATGCAAATGTGGCCAAGTTCTTAAACAGGTACTTAAGTGGAGGATGGTGGCCATAGTGGGGCAGTGAGCCCTAAGAGCAGCCAGGGCTAAGACCACACACTCCTCCCTCCCTCAGTCTTCTCCCTGCTCCCCCCAGGATGTCTATGCCTTCGCTGTTTTCGGGCAGCCCTGTCCCACTCTGTGGGATAAGGCACTGGTTAGGAAATGCCTATAGAGCTAGCAGAGGCAAACCTGAATTAAAAAGGCAGGGTGGTCTCAGGGTCTGTTCGTGGATACTGCTGCCCAGGGTCTTGATGGTGACCAACAGGAAGCCTGTCCAGCCAGCATCTCTTCCTCAGATACCAGGTGACCCACAGCCTTGCTGAGCTCAGTGCTGTGAGCCTGGCTAACCCACAGGTGCCCGGCCCTGGGGTCAGCCTCTGTGCCACCACAGCTGTGCCTCTGCTTTCTACTGCAGCCTGGCTCAGACATGGGCCAGGCAGGAGCCCAGGAATTGCCTAGCCATGCACAAAGTGACCTCATGATGCCTGTGTCCCATGTTACCCCCAGGATGCAGACTGGCTTCCATCCTCGCAGGTCCCTTCCTCCTGGGTGGGATGTCACCCAGACCTAGTGAGAAACGGCTCCTGTCTAACTCAGAAGCAGCAACCTGGAGGAGACTGGCTGGGCCTGCAGTGTTGTGCAGACCAGGGCAGGTCATCCCTCCCTGCAGGTTCCCAGGAGTCACCAAGAACGCAGCATATAGCCACCCTAGGAACACTGGGCTCAGAAGGGCAGTTACGGCCTCAGCAGTTAGAAGCAGCACACCAGACGGAAGGGAAGGCCTGTGAAGCTGGGCTCAGGGTAGGAGGGGAGCGGGAAGGCATGGGGGAGAGAGTGACAAAAGCTTGCTGTGAGTCTCCCAAGAGGTGACACAGAGCCCCATAAGTACCTCAAGCAGGTGTGGCATCATCTAATATTCCCTGTCCCTTTGCCTGCAGAAGGCCCCTTGCCCTGAGCCAGTCACTGCTGGGTCTGCTGACTCTGATCATGACTTTCTCCACGCTGCTGATTCTAAGTGGGACACTGGCAGTGTCTGGAGACAGTTTGGGCAGTTGTATTTAGTTCTGGCTACTGCTAACAGTGTGTCGAGACCAAGCATGCCATTGACCACTCTACATGCACGGGAGAGCCCCAACCATAAAGAATAATCCAAAATGTTGGTAGTTCCAAGGTCAAGACCCACCTAAGGCCTCTTTATGCAAACTGTCACTTGTGATACTGCCTGGGATGGGGGCTGACCCACAGGCTTGCAGCTGTCATGAATCCCAGATGGTGCATGCCTGTCACAGGAAAATGTAGATGCAGCTCAAGTCACCTAGAGCCCCTAGGCTCCACCTTAGGGACTCAGGGTGGGCAATAGTCTATGCCCACAGAGCACCCAGGAGTGCTCCAGCCCCGCCATCCATCATGCCAAGAGGGTGTACTGCCCACTCTTCCCACTCTGCCTATTGGGGTGCCAGCATCACCCTTTCTTCTTGAAGACTAGCTAAGCCACATCCTTCCTGTTGCTTCTTTCTGCCCCTCCAGACTCAGCGATTACCTCTTCACCATAGCCAGGTATGCAGCCATGAAAGAGGGCAGCCAAGAAAAAATATACAAGAAGAGTGATGTTTGAGACATGAAGACATGTGAGGGGAGCTCACTCTCTGGAGAGACCATGGAAAACTTGAGAACAGCTCACACTAAGACTGGAAGTGAGGGGGCTGGAGAGATGGCTCAGGGGTTAAGAGCACTGATCTGCTCTTCCAGAGGACCCGGGTTCAATTCCCAGCACCCATATGGCAGCTCACAACTGTCTGTAACCCTGGTTTCAGGGGATCTGACACCCTCCATACCAATGCAAATAAAATAAAATTAATAGTTAAAAAAAAAAAAGACTGGAAGTGAGCCTGAGATACAGACTCGGCATCACCTCACACTCCCTGCCGTTTCCCCCAGGGGACCTCTCAGAGTCCTGCTGGCTCTCCCAGGCTGTGCTAGAGCACGTGGGACTGCCTTCCATTCTGTACTCCCGGTTGGAAAGGTATACTGACGGCTACGAAGAGGAGGGGCCCCTCGGCATCGGGAGTGAACGTGGGGAAGGTTTGAAGCGCACATTGGGTTGGGAGGGAGGGAGAGGCTGCTTGTGTGTGTGTGTTGAGGTGGATGGAAAGGCTGCTGCCAACTCTGGCTGTTCAAGGATTTGGAATGTACCAGCGGCCTCTGGAAATGTAATTGTGATTTACCTGTGCCTACAGGGCCCTAAATGTCACATTTATAAAGGGGAAGGCAGGCAGGCTTGAGGAGTTTAGTCACCTCTGAGCCGCCCATCACTGCCACAGTGTAGGGGAAAGACAGCTGCAGGTCCACAGGGGTGCGACTTGGAGAATCCTCTCCATCAGGGCAGGAGGCGGGTGGCCCTCCCCACCACAGCAGCGGTGGAAATGAGGTCTTGAGGCTAACACTGAGCCCTCCAATGTCCTGGTTTATGCTTCTGTGGTCCACACGACGACTGTGTTTTATTCCACTTGTCACCGCTGCTTCTCCTCACTATGAAATGACATCGCCAGTGGCAGCTGTGTCCTTGGGAAGAGGGATATTTATGAAAGGCTGGAGGCAGCCCCGAGAACCTGAGGATTCCATGCCTCGTGGTAGGTAGTGACTGCGGAAGCGCAGGTCAGAGACACCTGGGGACTCAGCTCAGGGATCTCTCTCCTGTGTACTTGTTTGGCGTGCCTTCCATGCTAGGTGGGTGGACTGGCCCTCTAGCTGCCCTCCTTATTGGTCAGTCAGCAGCATTTGACTTCAGCCAAGTGTCCTCCCCACCTTCCTGATGATGTTCCAGGTGGACAGCTCCGTGTTTATCTTCTGGGTCCTTCCTTTCAAGGTTGGATGCCCAGGAGGGAGGAGCACCTCCCCACAGGGGGCAGTCCTGTCCAGTGCCACTGCATCCACCATAGTGAGGCATGGATTGGATACGGAGTTGGTGATGTGTGTGCAAGACCAGAATGAAACAGGAGTGCAAGCCTGAGCCTCATGCTGTTCCGGGCCTGCCCGGGAAGCCCCTCCACTCTGCCTACAGCCACGGGTCCTCCTAAAAAGGACAGGATGGACTCAAGAAAATAACAGCCTACACCCCTAGCCCACGCCCTGCCTGCTTTCAACACCCCGCCAGCGTTTTGCGTGGCTCTCACAGGGTAGATCTCAACACTCAGGCTCCAGGCCTTGCCTAGCCTTGGGTGGCTCTCACAGGGTTAGATCTCAACACTCAGGCTCCAGGCATTGCCTAACCTTGCACATACTACCCACAATCCCCATGGGGTGATGCCCACTGCATGCTAGCACAGCGCAGAACTGTTTCTTTAAATTATCACCATTTATCATTGATCTCTCCCTTTTTGCATAATTCACCCGTTGAAAATATTGCAGGAAGCCTCCTGTCTTTTTCTAAAATTTTGTAAATAGCTATTTTACTGAGATACAATCCCACATACCAGGAAGTTCTTTTTAAAGTGGACAGTCCTGTGAGTTTTCTGGTATTGCCCAGTTTTCGTCACCCATAACTGGCACCCAAGAAACTGCCCTGTAGTTGAGGACAGGCTCATCAGAACAGTATTCACCATTGTTACCAGAGGCCAGCCTTCAGCAGCGCCAGTGCTACAGAAGGGCCCCAGTCACGGAAGGGAAACTGAGGCTTAGAACTGGTCTAGACTGTGGTCTCAGGACCCCCACCCCAAGCCTACCGGCACTTGACAGTCATTTTAATCACAACCTGGGCTGTGTCGAGCAGTGTCAGGTGCTAATAGATCTGCTGTCACATTTCTCAGCCGAGTTTCCCTTAACAGATATTTCATGGCTGTTGTTAATGTGCATTTTTCACTGAGTAATTTCCAGAGCCTGAACTTGTAGCACATCCCAGTGATAAACGTCCCCAGTTCCCAGTCCCCTGTCGGCTGCAATGTCACCCTTACCTCCTCCCCAGCACCTCTCGACAGCCCATCCAGTTTTATGATCCCTCTGTCCCAGTGATCACGACTGAACCTTTAAGAATCCAGATGCATTTCAAGTTTAATTGAATAAAATTCTTTGTATAATAAATTCCGCATGAATGCTACATAAATCAATGCCTGGAAGGATTTGTGGCTCATCTCTCTCCCCAGACGGGGTTGAGGATCTTGCTGGCAGTGCTGAGCCCAAGCTGGTCCTGTCTTGATCACCAAGAGGAATAAATTTGCCTTTGGGGTATATAGGGTGTGGCTTCTGCTGTCATGACCTATAGGTAATCTCTGAGTCCCTTTTGGAAGACAGTGCTTTGTCCAGGCAGAGCAGAGGACAAGCAGACTAGGGTCTGGGAGCTCTGGGGAGGGATCTCATAGTCATTTATGGAATCAGAGCTCCCATCATTTGTCACTTTGGAGTCCTGGAGAAAACTGCGCACAAGCTCTTTAGGGTGGTGCACATGCTCTTTCTAGGCTGGTTGTCAAGCTGTGTGCATCATGGAAGTCTGTGTAACCCCAAGGTGAGACTCCCATGCAAGCTGGGGGTGTGGCACATGCCTGTTGTCCCAGCTACCTGGAAGGCTGAGGCAGGTGGATTATCTGACAAACTTGGGAGTTAAAGACTAGTCTGGGCAACATAGCAAGACACTGTCTCAAAAAACAAAAAGGCAAAAATAACAACACCCTCTTCAAGAGCTAAGTGTGAGTTCATGGGGCACCTTCCTCCATTGGCCACTTAAGGGTTCCTGGAGCTCCAACCTTGAAGGTGAGAAGGAATGCCGGATCTGCGGAACCCGGAAGGACAGGGAATGATCAGCAGGCACACAGCTCCACACTAGCCCGAACCCTGAGAAGGGCCTGTCAGTTTCCAGCCCCGAATTCTGGATACATTGGTCATCTTTTTATACTGACCGCATCACTGGTAAAATGATGCCAGTCTTCATGCTCTGTGGTCATTGGGAGAGCTTACTTACTCAGGCAGTGTTTAACAAGTCCCTGGCAAACGCTAGCTACCGTTACTTGAATTCAGATTCCCGCTTTGCCACATCTTACTTTTGTTACCTTGGACAATTCATTTAGCCACTGTGTAGCCCAGGCTGGCCTCTTTCTTCCTCTAGAGTGCTGGGATAAGCGGCAAGTACCACCGTGCTTGGTACTCTTCATCGTAACAGAATAGCAGCAACTTCCTGGAGTTCGAGGCTGAATCCATGGGTCTGGTTGGTGTAGCTGTAGTAGCCAAGTAGCTTTGGCCTCTTAAAAAGCCATTCTGGGCTGCAGGAGTGGAGCCGGGCTTCGAGACAGGGTTTTGCCACAGAGCCAACTGACCTAAATTTGAGATCCTGCCACTGCACACACACAGCTTTGTAAATTCTCACACTGTGGGATTGTGAGGTGGCTCTACAGGTAAGGGCACTTAGCACAGAGCTGAGTTTGACACCTGGAATCTATATGGTGGGAAGAGAGAACAGGATCCTCTGACTTCTATGCATGTACAATGCAAGTATGTGCATAAACACACACAGACTTCTGCGCATGCACAATATATGTGTGTGCATAAACACAGATTCCTATTTGTGCACAATACCTGTGTGTATAAACATACACATACTTCTATGCATACACAATACCTGTGTGTATAAGCATACACAGACTTCTCTGCATACACAATACCTGTGTGCATAAACATTCACACACTTCTATGCATGCACAGTATGTGTTTGTGCATAAACATACAGACAAGTGTCAAAACAAACCTTTACACTGTAACTAACCCTGAGAGAGCATCTTGCCCACAGCAGCCCCAGCCAGCTGCCATGAGCATCCTTGTGTTACAAACAGAAGCTGGGGCACTGGGAAATGACACCATGGCTGGTGCCATGCAGTAAGAGGCCACTCTGGGACTTGAGCTTGGATCTTCCTCAAGCCTGCTTACCTATGCACAGGGATCACATTATACCTGTCTTGCTGTGGTGGCAGCAGAGCCTGTCGGGTTCCCCAGGGTGACCTCCTTGGGAAGTTAGCTATTAGGGTATGGCTGGTAATTAAGTAGGGTAGGCTGCTTCTCCAGGAGAGCAAGAAAAAATTGAAAAACTCCCAGAGGACCCTGGTTGTCCCAGCCACAAGTAGCCATTCCAAGGAAAATGAGAAATAGGTGCCAGTTGAATGTGACACAAAGGCCCCCAAAGAACCAACCCAATAGAGGCACAAAAACATCCTGATGATTCCAGACCTGGGGTGCAAGGTGACCTCGCCATTTCAACATCCTAGAAGCAGCTCCTGTGGCTGATCTCAGGTCACAGGCCCTCTGGTCCCCCCCCCCCACTGGCCATCTGTAATACCAACATCCCTCCCCAGCTAGTAGGTGCCTTTATTTATGATCACCTTGGAAGGGTCGAGCAGACATATGTTGCTAAAGGGGCATTTATTCTTGTTTATAAAATTTATGGCTTCACCTCAATTACACACTGTCAAAACGGGAAGGATCGGCCCCAAAGCCTCTAGCCGCCTGACTGCTTCAGACGTGCGTACATCTGTTAACTCCATGGGAGCTGTACAGGGAAATCAGGTCCGCTATAACTCAAGCTCGCTGTCCTGCCATGAGGTGTGAGTTGCAGGCCTTGGGCAGATACATTCAGGCGTGCATGTGGGCAAGCGGCGGCTAACCGCTGGAGTGGCCATGCCAGGTGGCCAGATGTGTCCACTAACCATGGCCTCTGTCAAGCTGGGGAAGATGCGAGAGAACTTTATTTCTGTGGCTGCTGGGGTCCAGCTGCAGGACCCCAGCGGCTGGAGAGAGTTTTTGAGCCTGTGGCTCTCCACCTGGCAATATCAGTGGGGGAAGAGC